AACCTTCAATAACTCAACCTGTCACACACACAACTTTTACCATTCCGGAACTTTTTGATCTTTTTTTGATCTCTCATTTCTTAAACTTCTCGTCTCTTAAATCTTTTTCATATTTCAACTTTCTCAGCTTTTTTTAAATCTTTCATTTATTGAGCCCCTCAACTCTTCAGTGTTTCAGTCTGCAGATTTCCTTTATCTCTTGACGCCGAAAGCGATTGGGCTCATAACATGTTTTGTTCATTTCTTTGAGAGCAGAACACAAATCTATCGCGGGTTTGACCGTTACTCGCTTTATCCAGTCCACCAACCCAACGGGTGGCTTTATCCAGTCCACCAACCCAACGGGTGGCTTTATCCAGTCCACCAACCCAACGGGTGGCTTTATCCAGTCCACCAACCCAGCCTGAGGCTTTATCCAGTCCTCCAACCCAGCCTGAAGCTTTATCCAGTCCGCCAACCCAGCCTGAAGCTTTATCCAGTCCGCCAACCCAGCCTGAGGCTTTATCCAGTCCACCAACCCAGCTTCAGGCTTTATCCAGTCCACCAACCCAGTCTGAAGCATCACCCAGCCCAACCAACCCAGTCTGAAGCTTTATCCAGTCCGCCAACCCAGCCTGAGGCTTTATGCAGTCCACCAATCCAGCCTGAAGCTTCACCCAGTCCACCAACCCAGCCTGAAGCTTCACCCAGTCCACCAACCCAGCCTGAAGCTTCACCCAGTCCACCAATCCAGCCTGAAGCTTCACCCAGTCCACCAACCCAGCCTGAAGCTTCACCCAGTCCACCAACCCAGCCTGAGGCTTCACCCAGTCCACCAATCCAGCCTGAAGCTTCACCCAGTCCACCAACCCAGCCTGAAGCTTCACCCAGTCCACCAACCCAGCCTGAAGCTTCACCCAGTCCACCAACCCAGCCTGAAGCTTCACCCAGTCCACCAACCCAGCCTGAAGCTTCACCCAGTCCACCAACCCAGCCTGAAGCTTCACCCAGTCCACCAACCCAGCCTGAGGCTTCACCCAGTCCACCAACCCAGCCTGAGGCTTCACCCAGTCCACCAACCCAGCCTGAGGCTTCACCCAGTCCACCAACCCAGCCTGAAGCTTCACCCAGTCCACCAACCCAGCCTGAAGCTTCACCCAGTCCACCAACCCAGCCTGAGGCTTCACCCAGTCCACCAACCCAGCCTGAGGCTTCACCCAGTCCACCAACCCAGCCTGAGGCTTCACCCAGTCCACCAACCCAGCCTGAGGCTTCACCCAGTCCACCAACCCAGCCTGAAGCTTCACCCAGTCCACCAACCCAGCCTGAGGCTTCACCCAGTCCACCAACCCAGCCTGAGGCTTCACCCAGTCCACCAACCCAGCCTGAAGCTTCACCCAGTCCACCAACCCAGCCTGAAGCTTCACCCAGTCCACCAACCCAGCCTGATGCTTCACCCAGTCCACCAACCCAGCCTGAAGCTTCACCCAGTCCACCAACCCAGCCTGAAGCTTCACCCAGTCCACCAACCCAGCCTGAAGCTTCACCCAGTCCACCAACCCAGCCTGAGGCTTCACCCAGTCCACCAACCCAGCCTGAGGCTTCACCCAGTCCACCAACCCAGCCTGAAGCTTCACCCAGTCCACCAACCCAGCCTGAGGCTTCACCCAGTCCACCAACCCAGCCTGAGGCTTCACCCAGTCCACCAACCCAGCCTGAGGCTTCACCCAGTCCACCAACCCAGCCTGAAGCTTCACCCAGTCCACCAACCCAGCCTGAGGCTTCACCCAGTCCACCAACCTAGCCTGAGGCTTCACCCAGTCCACCAACCCAGCCTGAGGCTCCACCCAGTCCACCAACCCAGCCTGAGGCTTCACCCAGTCCACCAACCCAGCCTGAAGCTTCACCCAGTCCACCAACCCAGCCTGAAGCTTCACCCAGTCCACCAACCCAGCCTGAGGCTTCACCCAGTCCACCAACCCAGCCTGAAGCTTCACCCAGTCCACCAATCCAGCCTGAAGCTTCACCCAGTCCACCAACCCAGCCTGAGGCTTCACCCAGCCCACCAACCCAGCCTGAGGCTTCACCCAGTCCGCCAAGCCAGCCTGAGGCTTCACCCAGTCCGCCAACCCAGCCTGAGGCTTCACCCAGTCCGCCAACCCAGCCTGAGGCTTCACCCAGCCCACCAACCCAGCCTGAAGCTTCACCAAGTCCGCCAAGCCAGCCTGAGGGTTCACCCAGTCCACCAATCCAGCCTGAAGCTTCACCCAGTCCACCAACCCAGCCTGAGGCTTCACCCAGTCCACCAACCCAGCCTGAGGCTTCACCCAGTCCACCAACCCAGCCTGAGGCTTCACCCAGTCCGCCAAGCCAGCCTGAGGCTTCACCCAGCCCACCAACCCAGCCTGAGGCTTCACCCAGTCCACCAACCCAGCCTGAAGCTTCACCCAGTCCGCCAAGCCAGCCTGAGGCTTCACCCAGTCCGCCAAGCCAGCCCCCGGCTTCTCGTATCTAAAACCTAATTCCACAACCCGCCAGGGAGGATAAAATAAGTCTCACACATGCACGCAATCTCTGTCTTCGCGAAATATTTCCTCCCGCTCTTTCCTGTAGGAACTTTATCTCTATTTTACCAAAACCAATTTATTTAAATTTCTTATCAACTTCAACTAATTTAGAGATTCACTTAGAAATTCATACACGTTTTTTTTATTATTAATAAACATAGTTTGTTGAAACTGGTGATATGTAGTTTGATATGTGATATCACCTCATGTGTGATATGTAGTGTGATATGTAACTAGTTCTCTCTTATAGTCAGGATATATATATTCTGGACACACATGTCTCTCTTATATGTATTCAGGAGTGATACATATTGAAGAGGAATATTTAGGGAAAATATGTCGAAAACACTTGAATCGGTTCGACCCTTGTTGTGTGTAATCTTTAATTAAAGGCAGGTATAGTTGACCCATTTCTATATTATTTGATATCTATCATGTGTGGTTCACTACTTTCCAAAGCTGTGGTTCGCTGCTTCCGTTTGTCGTGGTTCATTACAGCAGTACAGTATGGGGCAGTGTAGTACAGTATGAGACAGTGTAGTACAGTATGGGGCAGTGTAGTACAGTATGAGACAGTGTAGTACAGTATGGGGCAGTGTAGTACAGTATGAGACAGTGTAGTACAGTATGAGACAGTGTAGTACAGTATGAGACAGTGTAGTACAGTATGAGGCAGTGTAGTACAGTATGGGGCAGTGTAGTACAGTATGAGACAGTGTAGTACAGTATGGGGGCAGTGTAGTACAGTATGAGACAGTGTACAGTACAGTATGAGACAGTGTAGAACAGTATGAGACAGTGTAGTACAGTATGAGACAGTGTAGTACAGTATGAGTATGAGACAGTATAGTACAGTATGAGACAGTGTAGTACAGTATGAGACAGTGTAGTACAGTATGAGACAGTGTAGTACAGTATGAGACAGTGTAGTACAGTATGAGACAGTGTAGTACAGTATGAGACAGTGTAGTACAGTATGAGACAGTGTAGTACAGTATGAGGCAGTGTAGTACAGTATGAGACAGTGTAGTACAGTATGAGGCAGTGTAGTACAGTATGAGGCAGTGTAGTACAGTATGAGACAGTGTAGTACAGTATGAGACAGTGTAGTACAGTATGAGACAGTGTAGTACAGTATGAGACAGTGTAGTACAGTATGAGACAGTGTAGTACAGTATGAGACAGTGTAGTACAGTATGAGACAGTGTAGTACAGTATGAGACAGTGTAGTACAGTATGAGACAGTGTAGTACAGTATGAGACAGTGTAGTACAGTATGAGACAGTGTAGTACAGTATGAGACAGTGTAGTACAGTATGAGACAGTGTAGTACAGTATGAGACAGTGTAGTACAGTATGAGACAGTGTAGTACAGTATGAGGCAGTGTAGTACAGTATGAGGCAGTGTGTACAGTATGACAGTATGTATGAGGCAGTGTAGTACAGTATGGAGCATGTAGTACACAGTGTAGTACAGTATGAGACAGTGTAGTACAGTATGAGACAGTGTAGTACAGTATGAGACAGTGTAGTACAGTATGAGACAGTGTAGTACAGTATGAGACAGTGTAGTACAGTATGAGACAGTGTAGTACAGTATGAGACAGTGAGTACAGTGTAGTACAGTATGAGACAGTGTAGTACAGTATGAGACAGTGTAGTACAGTATGAGACAGTGTAGTACAGTATGAGACAGTGTAGTACAGTATGAGACAGTGTAGTACAGTATGAGACAGTGTAGTACAGTATGAGACAGTGTAGTACAGTATGAGACAGTGTAGTACAGTATGAGACAGTGTAGTACAGTATGAGACAGTGTAGTACAGTATGAGACAGTGTAGTACAGTATGAGACAGTGTAGTACAGTATGAGACAGTGTAGTACAGTATGAGACAGTGTAGTACAGTATGAGACAGTGTAGTACAGTATGAGACAGTGTAGTACAGTATGAGACAGTGTAGTACAGTATGAGACAGTGTAGTACAGTATGAGACAGTGTAGTACAGTATGAGACAGTGTAGTACAGTATGAGACAGTGTAGTACAGTATGAGACAGTGTAGTACAGTATGAGACAGTGTAGTACAGTATGAGACAGTGTAGTACAGTATGAGACAGTGTAGTACAGTATGAGACAGTAGTACAGTGAGACAGTACAGTGAGACAGTGTAGTACAGTATGAGACAGTGTAGTACAGTATGAGACAGTGTAGTACAGTATGAGACAGTGTAGTACAGTATGAGACAGTGTAGTGTATGAGACAGTAGTACAGTATGAGACAGTGTAGTACAGTATGAGACAGTGTAGTACAGTATGAGACAGTGTAGTACAGTATGAGACAGTGTAGTACAGTATGAGACAGTGTAGTACAGTATGAGACAGTGTAGTACAGTATGAGACAGTGTAGTACACAGTGTAAGACACAAGGCACTATAAAAGAGTTCAACAACACCCACTTGTTGTAGAGGACAATATCAGGCAGCCAGATGTGTTCCGAGGGCACGTACAGCATCTCCACGCCTCCATAGTCGCCGGGGTCCCATCTCAGCTTGTAATCATGCCACTCCTGGGGGTAAGACAAGTCATAGGTTAGTGGCTGGGGTGCTGGAGGAGGGTTAGGGGTGCTAGGAGAGGGTTGGGGGTGCTGGGGGAGGGTTGGTGGTGCTGGGGGAGGGTTGGTGGTGCTGGGGGAGGGTTGGGGGTGCTGGGGGAGGGTTGGGGGTGCTGAGGGAGGGTTGGGGTGCTGAGGGAGGGTTTGGGGTGATTGGGGAGGGTTTGGGGGTGATGGGGGAGGGTTTGGGGTATATACATTCTGCCTGTTGGTAGTAGACTGAAAGCTTTCCCATAGCTCATGACAGGCCTAACTCTACAAGCTGGAGGCCAGATTTTTGGGGTTAACCACAGGCTATTTTTAACAGTAGTTGCTACTGGTACGTGTCCCAACATGGTCGGATTGTGGATTCCATTAGTGAAACTCGAACCACCTCACACGGTGCAATGTCATATTCACTAAGCTCTTAATTATCAGTCTTCGTATTTCATTATTTTTGTCTAGTTATCGTAAACATCGGCAGTGATGTTTGCAAAGTTTGTCAAACAATTCTAACTTGCATAAAGTGTAATAACTTAATATATATGTTCAGAACAGCTATCACTGCTCTACTAGAATAGTTAATAGAAACAAAATAACACAGCCGACATATATATACATTTATACAACGTCATTTTTAATTAAAAATGTACACTGAGGGAGGTACAGGTACACTAAGGGAGGTACAGGTACACTAAGGGAGGTACAGGTACACTAAGGGAGGTACAGGTACACTAAGGGAGGTACAGGTACACTAAGGGAGGTACAGGTACACTAAGGGAGGTACAGGTACACTAAGGGAGGTACAGGTACACTGAGGGAGGTACAGGTACACTAAGGGAGGTACAGGTACACTAAGGGGGGTACAGGTACACTAAGGGGGGTACAGGTACACTAAGGGAGGTACAGGTACACTAAGAGAGGTACAGGTACACTAAGGGAGGTACAGGTACACTAAGGGAGGTACAGGTACACTAAGGGAGGTACAGGTACACTAAGGGAGGTACAGGTACACTAAGGGGGGTACAGGTACACTAAGGGAGGTACAGGTACACTAAGGGAGGTACAGGTACACTGAGGGAGGTACAGGTACACTGAGGGAGGTACAGGTACACTAAAGGAGGTACAGGTACACTAAGGGGGGTACAGGTACACTAAGGGAGGTACAGGTACACTAAGGGAGGTACAGGTACACTAAGGGAGGTACAGGTACACTAAGGGAGGTACAGGTACACTGAGGGAGGTACAGGTACACTAAGGAGGTACAGGTACACTAAGGGAGGTACAGGTACACTAAGGGAGGTACAGGTACACTAAGGGAGATACAGGTACACTAAGGGGTGTACAGGTACACTAAGGGAGATACAGGTACACTAAGGGAGGTACAGGTACACTAAGGGAGGTACAGGTACACTGAGGGAGGTACAGGTACACTGAGGGAGGTACAGGTACACTGAGGGAGGTACAGGTACTCTGAGGGAGGTACAGGTACTCTGAGGGAGGTACAGGTACACTAAGGGAGGTACAGGTACACTAAGGGAGGTACAGGTACACTAAGGGAGGTACAGGTACACTAAGGGAGGTACAGGTACACTAAGGGAGGTACAGGTACACTAAGGGAGGTACAGGTACACTAAGGGAGGTACAGGTACACTAAGGGAGATACAGGTACACTAAGGGAGGTACAGGTACACTAAGGGAGGTACAGGTACACTAAGGGAGGTACAGGTACACTAAGGGAGGTACAGGTACACTAAGGGAGGTACAGGTACACTAAGGGAGGTACAGGTACACTAAGGGAGGTACAGGTACACTAAGGAAGGTACAGGTACACTAAGGGAGGTACAGGTACACTAAGGGAGGTACAGGTACACTAAGGGAGGTACAGGTACACTAAGGGAGGTACAGGTACACTAAGGGAGGTACAGGTACACTAAGGAAGGTACAGGTACACTAAGGGAGGTACAGGTACACTAAGGGAGGTACAGGTACACTAAGGGAGGTACAGGTACACTAAGGGAGGTACAGGTACACTAAGGGAGGTACAGGTACACTAAGGGAGATACAGGTACACTAAGGGAGGTACAGGTACACTAAGGGAGGTACAGGTACACTAAGGGAGGTACAGGTACACTAAGGGAGGTACAGGTACACTAAGGGAGGTACAGGTACACTAAGGGAGGTACAGGTACACTAAGGGAGGTACAGGTACACTAAGGGAGGTACAGGTACACTAAGGGAGGGAGGTAAAGCCGCACAGAGATAATAAAGGAGAGAGGAGGAGAGGTTAGAGAGAACAAAGCAGGAACAAGGATAAGGAAGGCACGGTTGTGCTGGGACTTCGTTATCGCTCCATATCTCTCGCAATTATCGTAATCAGACGCAGGTGTCGGCCTACAGGTGACGCTACACCTGCTGGTGGTGAGGACGCTATCTAGGCAGGACGATTCTTCACAAATGTGAGTTATAACTCACAATCATCGAACTCTCTGAGGGGTTGTTTGGCCTTACACCGGGGGACAAACCCGTCAGCACACCTACCCGGGGTGAACAACCACACGGGTGAACAAATCACGGGTGAACAAATCACGGGTGTACAATACACGGGTGAACAACACACGGGTGAACAACACACGGGTGAACAACACACGGGTGAACAACACACGGGTGAACAACACACGGGTGAACAACACACGGGTGAACAACACACGGGTGAACAACACACGGGTGAACAACACACGGGTGAACAACACACGGGTGAACAACACACGGGTGAACAATCAAGACGGTAAAACACCAATCACAGAGGAACACAAACTGAGACGAAGTCAAATATGAACCTTTGTTTACCTAGGAGGGAGGAGGGCCGTGTTATAACTCAGAGATTGTGAGGCGGGAGAGCGAACCAGGCACTCGGGTTATTGTTGCGGCGTCAGGGAGACACCTGTTTTGTCCTTGTTTGGAGCTTGGAAGGACACAGTAGAGAAGATGAACAGGTCGGGTAAGTGGGGGGAAAAATATTTAGAAATGGAAATATAGTGAGGGTTGTATGATATAGCAGGCGGGCTGTCCGCCTTGCTGACACGGTGTGTGTGTGTGTGTGTGTACTCACTTATTTGTGCTTGCGGGGGTTGAGCTCTGGCTCTTTGGTCCCGCCTCTCAACCGTCAATGAACTGGTGTACAGGTTCCTAAGCCTATTGGGCTCTATCATATCTACACTTGAAGCTGTGTATGGAGTCAGCCTCCACCACATCACTGTCTAATGCATTCCATTTGTCAACCACTCTGACACTAAAAAAAGTTCTTTGAGATATATACAAGAGTTGTTACATTCTTGTACAGCCACTAGTACGCGTAGCGTTTCGGGCAGGTCCCTGGAATACGATCCCCGCCGCGAAGAATCGTTGTTACAACCAAGTACACATTTTACTGTTGCGTTAAACAGAGGCTACAGTTAAGGATTTGCGTCCAGTAAATCCTCCCCGGCCAGGATACGAACCCATGACAAAGCGCTCGCGGAACGCCAGGCGAGTGTCTTACCACTACACCACGGAGACTACTCCTAATACGACTACTTTCTAATATCTCTGTGGCTCATTTGGGCCACAGTTTCCACCTGTGTCCCCTAGTGCGTGTGCCCCTTGTACTCACCTAGTTGTGCTTGCGGGGGTTGAGCTTTGGCTCTTTCGGCCCGTCTCTCACGACTCTTTGGTCCCGCCTCTCAAGACGCGATTGTGTGTATGTGTGTTTGGCAGATAAGCTGAGCTTGCTCTCTCTTGTCGGGGAAGCTACTGGTGTTCTTTATAGGTTTCATAATGTATGCAAACGTTCCTATACGCTATGGGTATATATCAGCTTGGATGAATTATGTCTGAAGCATTGGACTCCATCTCAAGAGGAGTGCGTTCCATTCGGACCACTTTGTAGAGACAGATAAGACCCACAGCGCCAGCCTTACATAATACTTAGTAAAAAGAGGACATAGCGAGTTACTGATAAATCAATAGAAGGGTACATAGCCTTCCCCATGTTCCAGTGGCTTCGTTTAAACTCCGGTTCGAGTCCCGGGAAGTTAATGTATTAGGACATCAGTGAGTGGATTAACCCTGTATGTTCGCTCGTATTCTCAATGTAACACACGTATTTCTGTAATATATATTACTGAGTAATATAAATGGGATTACTGTATTGTTTCAAGCGCAGGTCAGACATATATTAGCGGGCGTGGTTGTGTTGTAGACACAGGCTGCCGCACGTGGTTATCTTGCTGTGATTTCTAGGCTCAGCGTCCCCGCGGCCCGGTCCTCGACCAGGCCTCCCAACAAGTCGTCTCCAGTTTCTGGTCGTTCTACCCGAACGACCGGATCACGTCACGAGTGATTGGTGCAATGACACGGGGATTTACAGTGATAATCCTTGTGTCACGTGATTGGAATTATCACGTGAGTAGGCTGGCACTGAGCCACACCAGGTAGACTGGCACTGAGCCACACCAGGTAGACTGGCACAGAGCCACACCAGGTAGACTGGCACAGAGCCACACCAGGTAGACTGGCACAGAGCCACACCAGGTAGACTGGCACAGAGCCACACCAGGTAGACTGGCACTGAGCCACACCAGGTAGACTGGCACGAGCCACACCAGGTAGACTGGCACAGAGCCACACCAGGCAGACTGGCACAGAGCCACACCAGGTAGACTGGCACTGAGCCACACCAGGTAGACTGGCACAGAGCCACACCAGGTAGACTGGCACAGAGCCACACCAGGCAGACTGGCACAGAGCCACACCAGGTAGACTGGCACTGAGCCACACCAGGTAGACTGGCACTGAGCCACACCAGGTAGACTGGCACTGAGCCACACCAGGTAGACTGGCACAGAGCCACACCAGGTAGACTGGCACAGAGCCACACCAGGTAGACAGGCACAGAGCCACACCAGGCAGACTGGCACTGAGCCACACCAGGTAGA